ATTCCTGCTTATCACTACTCTTAACTAATACTCTTTTTGCTAATTTCAATCCCTGCAACAGTACTGCAATCAAAGGCAAGGCAAATTAATTTTCCATATTATTTAATGATGATAATCTGTATCAAATGCTTTATTAAAGAGAAGATATTCTACATAACTGTTAAATATTATTTATTTAGCATTACAGACTTTGCATTTGGTAATCAGAAACAGTTGTTCCAAGAATTTGACCAGTGTTTGAAAGCTATTTTGTTGTCACTGGACAAGTACTTTCCAGTGGGGAACTTGCATTTGGAGCAAAGGAAATAATGTGTTTAGGAGCTTCGAACATACCCTTGGAACATAGTCTCACATAGTCTGTGTGACATTGTCTTCTGCCATGTCAAGGCATGTCATGTCAAGTCCGGGACTTTAATGCTCTTTACATATCCTTGCAGTGAAATTTTTTTTTGTCTAACAAGTGTGTGTTGTTTCAGACTCCATGACAGAAAGATGTGTATAATAGGACTAAGCATCCTAATGGAGCTGCAGAACCGACCGCCTGCAGTGGATGCTGTGGCTGCTCAGATTGTCCCTTCAATCCTCCTCCTCTTCCTCGGCTTAAAACAAGTTTGCGCCTCACGAGAACTCACAGAACATGAGGATCATGCTAAAGATGAAAAACACGTTGCAGAAGATAATGGTAAAATCTCCCCTTTTCACATTGTGGATTTTGTCTGGATTTAATTTAAAGGGGGTAAGAAATTGCAGTTCATTTTTAAGGCTCATTAGTCTGCTGAAAATAGCTCGGCTTATTGGGTGCTTGAAAGATCATCTTAGGAATTGATTTGTCCTCCCAAGGTGTGATCAAAACATTTCAGTGTATAACAGCTATCACTTTGTGGAAGCATAGTGTTGGTTTAAGAGTAACAATTAAGCTTGCAAGTCCAGTCTTCTGGGTTGTGAATGTGCTCCAACTTCTCATGTATGCAGCATGAATTTTCCAGGACTTTTTGGAAGGTCGGTTTGCCAGTTCCATTCTTGATTCCTGGAAAGAAGCTGTTCCTGGTACCCAACTATCTGAAAGACCTGTTAGGCTGAACATAGAAGGAAAACCTAGCAAGTCTTCTCTGTCCAAATGAAACGTGATTTGCAAAGTGAGGTTTGAAACAGCTGAGGTTCCTGGAGCGGACAGACCTTTGTCTTCCAGAAGACAAAAAACATCAAAGAATATCTTGTGGAGGGAATTCTGGGAAGTGAATTTTACACAGCATTGCAGGCATTTATGTGTGGCTGTATTTGACTTGGAACAGGAGATAGATATCTGGTTTGAGGTCTGAAAATTAGATTGGATGCAAACAGATTATGTAATCCACTAAAATTTCACATGGGATTGTTCTGTAATGGAGTTACAGAATTCTTCTCAATGCATAGGAGTACAGTACAGAAACAGCACAGTAATTTTCAGTTCTCTGTCTTGTGATTCATTCCCTGCTTCTTGCAGATATAGTAATTTTTATTCTTTCTAAACTGTTAGGAAGAGCTGAAGGTTTGGAATTGGAAAGGGATTTTTTTTTTAATCTCGATTATAAGTCAGAAATATTTTTCATCAAGTAAGAAATAGGAGTGTTTAGAATTGCATACTGGAGTTGCATTTAATTCAGGATGTAATAGTTGTTTCATAAGCAGAAGGGAAGGTAGAACTAAGCTGAGGAGGCTGGTTTGGGTTTGTTCAGTTAAAGGAGCACTGAGGAATAGCAGGCAGGCATTTGGTCTACATCTGGTTTTCTCCTTGCATCAATTTCTGAAGTCCATCCAAGTCTCAATTTCTTCATCATTTAAAAAGTGCAGTGATGGGTTGCTTAGTCAAAGACACGTTTCCTCAAAATTTTGTGATCCTGTAATTGTCCAATGACTGCATAACTGAAAGGCGAAAGACAATGGCAGTTTCACATTCTCCAGGTATGCTTAGAAACAAAACTTTAGCTTGTCTTGAATGTAGGAAACAATTTGACAGCTTCCTTTTTCCAGTTCTAAGATTTTGGGGGAAAGGTGTTAACAGAGTGATCCCCTTTCCAGCTAAAACCTGGTTTTATTAATTGTTCTGCATTCATAAATCATTGTTTTCTTAGATTCTAGATGGGAAAATGTGACAAGTGGTGTCCCTCAAGGTTCTGTACTGAGACCAGTGGACCAGTGTTGTTTAGTATCTTCATCAGTGACATAGAGAGTGGCATCGAGTGCACCCTCAGCAAGTTTGCTGATGATACTGAGCTGGGTGGTGCAGTTGAGATGCCAGAGGGACGGGAAGCCATCCAGAGGGACTTGGACAGGCTGGAGAGGTGGGCTCAGGTGAACATCATGAGGCTCAACATAGGCCAAGTGCAGGGTCCTGCACCTGGGCCGAGGCAACCAGCATTATCAATATAGGCTGGGAGAGGACATGGCAGAGAGCAGTCCACTGGAAAAAGACTTGGGGGTACTAATAAATGAGAAGCTGGGCATGAGCCATCAATGAGCAGCAGCAGCCCAGAAGACAAATCAAATCCTGGGTTGCATCAAAAGAAGTGTGGCCAGCAGATGGAGAGAGGTGATCCTGCCCCTCTGCTCTGCCCTGGTGAGACCTCACCTGGAGTGCTGTGTCCAGCTCTGGAGCCCCCAGCACAAGAAGGACGTGGACCTGTTGGAGTGTGTCCAGAGGAGAGTCACAAAGATGATTAGAGGGCCAGAGCACCTCTCCTGTGAGGACAGGCTGAGGGAGTTGGGGTTGTTCTGCCTGGAGAAGAGGAGGCTCCAGGGGGACCTTATAGTGACCTTCCAACACCTTAGAGGGGCCTACAAGAAAGCAGGGGAGGGACTATTCACAAGGGTTTGTAGTGACAGGACGATGGGTAGTGGCTTTAAGCTAGAAAAGGGGAGATTTAGGTTAGACATTAGGAAAAAATTTCTTCAATGTGAGGGTGATAGATCCCTGGAATAGGTTGCCAAGACAGATGGTGGAAGCCTCATCCCTGGAGACATTCAAGGTCAAGCTTGATGAGGCTCTGAGCAGCTTGACCTAGTTTGAGATGTCCCTGCTTATTGCAGGGGGGTTGGACTAGATGACCTTTGGAGGTCCCTTTCAACCCAAACATTCTATGATTCTGTGATTTTTCTAAACTCTTACAAAATACATCAATGCTTTTGCAGAAGAGATACCAAGTGATGAGGAGGAGACAAATGAAGTAAGCCAGGTGATGCAAGAGAACCATGGTGGAGGAGGAGGTGGTGGAGAGGAAGAGGATGAAGATGATGATGACGATGACTGGGATGAGGATGCATTGGAAGAGACTGCTCTTGAGGGGTTCAGCACACCTCTTGACCTTGAAAATGGTGTTGATGAATACCAGTTTTTTACACAAGCACTTTTAGGTATGTGGTTGCTAGTTGGCAGAATGATACAACACGGTGCAGTAGTGTGGAGATGTTTATGATCATCACTGGGAAAAACCCTTTTCTTTGTTATGAGTAATAATTTAGATTATTTTAACTGGAAAATCTGATTTTGCTTTCTAATGTTAGTCCTAAGATATTTTTGGCTTGCAAGTACTGCAAAAAACCAAATGGTAGCAACTACAGTCACAGATTAATTCTCTTCATGTTCGCTTTCAGAACTTTTCAATTGCAGCCTAAATAAGTGGGACTCAGTCACTAGAGGGACTCCTATAGATAGAAATAATTGTTACTTTCTAGATGTTAAAATCATAACGGAGAAATTATTTTCTCCTTTTCCTGTTTGACTAATCCTGTTGCTTTTAGTTTTCATAAGAGTTTTTAATTAGAAGATTAACTTCATGAATAATGGCCATGGGGTTAACTTAGTTTCAGTAAGCAGGGGATTTCATTAAGTTCCCCAAAATGGACTGCCTCTATTACAGTGGGGATTCTGTGATAAAAAGACAGGAATACCAGACCACGGTTTTGCAGTGCAAATTCTATTTTAGAATCCACCAGGAATTCTGTATGTTTCATTATGTTTGTCTGAAATTAACTTGGAATGTAGCCAGATAATCCTTTTCCATCCCCTGCTGTTGCGACAGCGGTGCAGAGCCGAGACGCCACCTGGTACCACTTGCTCACAGCACCTTTGAGTGAAGATCAGAAGAAACAGCTGCAGGACATTTACACATTAGCAGAACACCGGCGAAGTGCTGCAGGTGAGGCACTTCTCTGTGGCCCTCTGATCTGTTGCAGGGGTGTTGGAGCTGCATCTAATCTGTAACAACAGAGAGAATACATCTCTCTGCTAATCAACTTTTCCTGAGAAAGGTTAGTGGGATATTGTGCTTCTGTTATCCCTTGCCTGTAAGTGTGTGTTACTGAGAGAGGTTACTGTTGCTTCTAATTCCCTTACTGATCTGACATTTGAAATGATGGGCAAATTTATGGTAATATCTAGCTCAGCCAGACACTTGATGAAGATTACTATTGATTATTGTGTGTTTAACAACTTTGTAACTTTTTAACCACTAACATTGCTTTCACAGTTAGTGTCAGTTTTAGATGATTGGAAAGCTTGCAACATGGAAAACAAATTCAGGTTTAGTCACAGCACACAGAATAGCATAACAGAGTGATTCTGTAGAGGATTAATTTTTCAGTTCTGTTTTAGAGGTATTTAGGTTTATGCATTTAGAGAAAGTCTGAGTGTAACTTTTTACTGTCCCTGCCTTTAGGGAATGAAATCTTGACTCAGCTGAGTTTTTTCCACAACTTTGCATTCTTAGCTGAGCTGTATTGTCTGTGGCAAAAGTGTTCTCTATAGACTATTTTTCATGTCCTTTCCCTTCTTTGAATTCTAGAGACTAAGACAATAGAACAACAAAGTGGCTACACATTTGACAACAAAGGACTGATCACACCATTTAACTTTGCTGGAGGTACTCCTGGTGGCAACTGAAGGATCAGCTGCAAAGGTCAATGCGAAGGTCTTACCATTACATTTTCTTGAGATCAATGTGACTTCTGAGTGATAGGGGAAGGTAATTTGATGCTGCTGAAGGTTTTCTGGAAAATAGCAGTGTGGTTCCCCCACCAGAATGTTCTTTCTACCAGCTACTGTAATGTACAAATTCTTGTGGTGTTTTTGTAATTTGATGGACTGAAAGGAGATGTTTGTCCTCAAGAAACCTGACAGACTGGGAGGGGCCAGGCTGCATCTAACTGAGTTGCACTTCTCAGGTTTTTGCTGTGCAGAATTGATAGATTCATATGGATAACAGTGCCTTCTGTTGTACATGGATTGCCTGAACAAATGGATTTTGGAGTGCATTATAATTTTTTAAGTGTAAGGACATTTCTTGATACACTGTAAGCCTTGGTTCCATGTTTTCCGGTCACCTGCTTCTTAGTACTTGGTTTAATTGTTCATTGTTTGCATACACATTGCTGGATTTGGAATATCCCACCTTTCCTGTTTGCTGCAGACCAAATGTGTAGAGGGAGATGTTTGTTGGGATTGCCAAGCATACACTGGTTACATCAAGGGGTCTCAACAAAATTGCAGATTTTCCCTTGATGCAGTAGTCTTAAATTATTTCTCTTAGCCATGAAATCAACTCACTTGTGTTATGATGGCATGTGTGGCAGGTGGCTACCCTAAATCTTCATTGATGTTACCTCCTTCCTGGACAAATGATGTGGCCCTCACCTGTAGATATTCTACATGACAACATTTTATTCCCATAATTTTTGATGAATATTGGATTTTACTTGCAATTCTATAAACCTCTTTTGTGTTTTTATTCATTCATTACCATTCCAGTGATAGTCCTGAATAATGTGGTACAAAATCTTTACAATACTTTATTTGCCTTGATAGAAGAAAAAACAGCTCCAGATTTATTTCTTCTTACTTTACACTTCTGTGACTGAATTTCTGGTCTGCATTCCATTTGACTATTCTCATCCCATGCTGAAATTTCATTATCTGCCAGATTTTCTTCTAAATTTCAAAGACTGGTTTCTCATAAATTGAAACACATATAACAAAATGTTTGTGAATATGCTTATTTAGTGAGAAACTGGTAGCAGTACTAATTTGAATAGGTGCCTCTCCTTTAGGTCTATTTGCCATCACAGTGGTGTAGCCAAAATAAGCAGGGGTGCTTTAGAATGTGAAGTTTGGATTGGAGATAAAATTTTTAGACCAGATTTTGTCTCTATGTGTTACTTTCTTTATGACTTAAAAATATTTACCAAGCAACTTTAAGCACATACTTAACATGTATTTCTTTGGAGTAGTGCCCCTACTGAAAAGTTGAAGCCCTTCCCATACCCCATCAGATTTTCAGTGGCTGTAGTGAGTTACAGATTGCTGGCCCTGCACTGTGCTGAAGCTTTCAGTTTTTGATCTGATGCAGTCTGAATCACTCTATGCCTTGGTTTCTGGAAAAGACCAACATGTCTCTGCCTGTTCTTTGCCCCATCCCCTGGGCTTTTGTCAGTCTGGCAGCTGTGGGGCAGAAGGTTCCCCACTGCTTTGCTTTTTGTCCGACTGGTGCTGCTGTTTGCAGCTGATGCTGCTTTTGCTTCCTCCTCACCCCCTGGCCTCATCAGCATCCGAGGAGTAAAGCTGGCCTGGTTCATGAAGATTTTTCACTGCTGCTAGTCACTTAATAGCAATTCTGGATATTTCTCACGTTTAGGTCTGTTGTGGAAAACTATGAGAACTCCAGGGTCTGTGTTTCCAAAAGGGAACAATATATTGAGCTGCAGCTCAAGCAGCAGAGGGCTAGGACATCCTCTGTTTTGAACTTCAGGCCATGAAAACATAGGTCTGTAGGTGTATTGACTGAGATGGTAGGAAGCCATTACATCCAGTTTGTTGGTGAAGTTCTCAGAAACCACAGAAGTTTTGAAATCCTTCATGAATTAAAGGAAAGGTTTTTTGAAGTTAAGGGCATGGATTACTTCTCTCTTACCTAATAAATGAAGTATTAGGCAGGTAAACTGATTAAGCCCTTTAATGTTTTCTTTTTAAGAGTGTGATTGTCAAGTTTGGTTTCTTTCAAAGCCCATTTGGCTTCTCTACACTGGCATGCAGAGCAGATTGACGGGTTTATTTTTCTTCTGCTAATGAGGCTGCTTGCACCAACACAAGCTAATATTTAGGAGTTAATGTATTCAAGGGAAAAAATCTGGTTTTGCATAGCATCATCCTTGTGTCAGTCTGATGAACTATGTTGGCTGCTCCCTAGTTCTGCTTCTTGTACACTTTTCAAATCAACTGCCAAGCAAATTTCATCCAGATGTTTCTTACAAGACATTGAATCAGCAGCGTGGAGTTGGGAATCTTTGTTGTCTGTTTTGTAGTGAGGGTCAGAGGTGACTGAGGGGATGGCATGTAAAAAGGTTAAATGCTCTTCCCTTCCCAGGTGTCCTGGTTCCGTGTAAA